AAACCAAAGGTTTATGGAAAAGGAGAAATAGGAATCCGAATGGAATGAGATAAAAACCAAATGGATCAGGATAAAAAGAGGAATGAAATAGAAAGGGAAGATGGAAAGGAGAAAGGAATGGAACGGGGTCGTACTCTCACAAACATGCTATCACGAATAGGTAGGTCCACCCACCCGCTTCCGCCCCGTGCCGCCACCTACCGGACCCTCGCGCCCCTAGCCAGCCCCGCGTGCCCCTACAGCCCCGTCGCGCCCCTAGCAGTCTCCGTCGTGCCCTTACGGCCCCGTCGTGCCCCTAGCAAGCCTCATCGCGCCCCTAGCAGGCCCCGTCGCGCCCCTATGCCCCGTCGCGCCCCTACGGCCCCTCGCGCCCCTAGCCGGCCCCGTTGCGCCCCTAGCTAGCCCCGTCGCGCCCCTACGGCCCCATCGCGCCCCTACGGCCCTGTCACACCCCCACGGCCCCGTCGCGCCCCTAGCTGGCCCTGTCGTGCCCCTACCGGCCCCATCGTGCTCCTACGGCCTTGTCGCGCCCATAGCCGGCCCCGTCGCGCCCCTTCCGGCCCCTTGCGCCCCTAGCCGGCCCCGCGCACCACTACGGCCCCTCACGCCCCTAGCCGGCCCCGTCGCGCCCCTACCGGCCCCTCGCGCGGCTAGCCGGCCCCTCGCGCCCCTACGGCCCCTCACGCTCCTACCGCCCCCCCCCCTCCATGTCCCTAGCCGGCCCCACGCGCCCTTGCCGGCCCCGCTCGCCCTAGCCGGCCCCTTGTGCCCTAGCCAGCCCTTTGCGCCCTAGCCGGCCTCGTCGCCTGAGCCGCCGAGCCACCGTGTCCCCGAGCCGCCGAGCACCCGCGCCGCCGAACCGCCGAGCCACCGTGCCGCCGAGCCGCCGAGCCACCGTGCCGCCGTGCCGCCGAGCCGCCGTGCCGTCGAGCCGCCGAGCCGCCGTGCCGCCGTGTCGTCGAGCCGCCGCTCCGCCGAGCCGCCGAGCCGCCGAGTCACTGTGCCGCTGAGCCGCTGTGCCGCTGTCACACTATGCGATGGCGGACGCCGTTCTTCGCTTGGACGCTAAAGGGCACGCAATCGACTTCGCCGCCTGGCTCGTCGACCTCCGCCGCCACCTGACAGGTCAGCGCCAGGATGGGCACTCCCTGGCTATGCATGTTGATGGTTTGCTTCCCCGCCCCCCGCGCCTGATCCCCTCCCTGTTGACCCTACCACTACTGAGAGCGAGGCTTTTGCTGCTGCTGCGCTTGCTCGAGTTGTCTGGGACTCTCGCGATGCAGTAGCCCAGCTTGCCATTAGCCATGCCCTCCCCCTGTCTGAGCGTCCGTGCTTTACCGCTGTCGCGAACGCCAAGGACTTTCTCGCTGCAGTAGTTGAGCGTTACTCCACACTTGCTTCCGCCTCTGCTGGCCGCTTGATCCTACCCATGCTCTTCCCTGATCTTTCTGCTTTCCCCACGGTAGCTGACCTCGCCACTCACCTCCGTGCACTAGAGACCAGCTACCGCGCTGCTAGCTCTGCCGCCCTGCTTACTGCCTTCCCCCCACATTTGTGCGCTACCCTGTACCTCATCGCCATGCGCCTGCCTGACCGCTTAGCCACTGCCCGCGACCACTTCCTTAGTCACCACCTTGCCAACCTCACCCTGACCGCCTTTGTCACTACTCTGTCTGAGATAGAGACTCGCCAGCGCACTATCGCTCAGTCGAGCGGTGTTGTGGCAGTCCCTATCTTTCAGGGCTGTGCCCCCTCCCAGTGCACGAACGCTGACGTCTCCGCTGCAGTTGCCATGACTGCGCCTGCATCTGAGACAGCAGCTGCGGCGTACCCACAGCAGCGCCAGCGCCAGGTCCGCCCTGGCCCTAAGGGAGGACATGGAGGTGGCGTTAGTGGTGGTGGTGGCGGGGACAATGATTCTGATGAGGGGGTTGGTGCTGGTGCCCAGGAGCAGCAGCAGTCGCCGCACTCGCAGCCACCGCAGTCGCAGCCGCCGCCGCAGCAGCAGCCGTCACAGAAGCAGCAGCAGCAGCCGTGGGCTCGTCTCTTTCGACGAGTCTGTCTCCTTTTTCCACCGCTTTTCTCACCGAGGTCTCCCAGTTCCCCCCCCCTTGTTTTTGGTTCCCACTCCCCCAGTCGCCCTTGCTCCCCTCCCTCCCCGTCCTGCTCCGTCCAGTGTGTCTCACGTCACTCCCCTCCCGTCGGTTGTCCCTGTCGAGGAGTCGGCTGACTCCGGTGGCCCCGCGGCGTAGTTTGCACTGCCAGTCCCTCCCCCGGTGTCTCCTCCTCCCTCGTCGCAGTCGCCGCCGTAGCCGCCGCTGTCACAGCCGCATCCGTTCGTGGACTCTGGGGGTGATGGAGTTGGAGAGGGTGCTAGTCATGGGGCTCCTGTCGTGGCATGTCCCGGCGGGCTCGGGGGTGGCACCGGCGCTGGAGACGTTTCTCGCTCTAGGGGTGCTGGCGTGGAGTGTACCGGAGGTCGCAGTGGTGCAGCTGGTGG